CTTCCAAAATGTTAATTCTAAAAGAATATATCTGCTCTCTCCTGAGAGGTTCTCCAAAACGAACTTCCAAAATGTTAATTGTAAAAGAATATAGTTTAAGCATAAGTGATAACATGACATTCTAAATTGAAATACTCCTATAGAGTAATGATCATGTCCACCCGGATGGACAGGAAGCGTCGTCCGATTGAGGCCATCAGAGACCCTTCCCGGTGGAATTTCAGCATGTTCATCAAAGTCTAGTTTATCCATATCAAATTTCCGCTAAAAATTCGATCGGGAAGGCAGTCAAATAAATTGTGGAACAAAACTGTGATGTTTATATATATAAAGCACAGTTATCTTCAAAAATTTATTTGACTATCTTCCCGATCGAATTTATAGCTGAATTTTGGTATGGATAAACTAGACTTGGCGAAGAACATGCTCAAAAAATTTCATAAAAAATTTCCACCCAGAAGGGCCTATGATGACCTCGGCCGGACGGCTTCTCCTGTCCATCAGGATGCACATGATCTCTTTCCTATATATGAAGCAGCTCATTGCTATTTATGATGCCAATGTGCCCATAAATGTAATCATTCCAGAACAGAATCTAGTGCATAACCCACTATTCCATTACCATCAACGCTTAAACAAATTGCCCCTAATTGACAAAAAAATGCTACTATGAATTGGGAACGTGAGGGTGGATATGGAATGACAGTAGAATCACATGAGTTGCTGTGCTCCGTTGTTATTCAAAACTGGACACAGAATTCTGATTTCATGCATTACAACTTCGGTACCTATCTGTAACCTGCAGTATGATTGTATGTTTGTATAATTGTACTCCGTATCTGCTTCTTTCTGCTTTCATTTTTCCATACTTATACTGTTTGTACAATGTGAAATGACCAAACAACTCCTCTCGACAATGCAAAGAAACACACGCCTATGCAGGTGATTGCCAACGAATTCGTCAATTACACTTCAAACGGTTTTGGAAAATTTGTCTTTAAACCATATGTTTATGGTGAAATTGAATTGTAATCACATTCTAATAAGTTAATGTTCACATTTTATATCATCACAGATTTTTGACTCAGTGAGAGATACTCATTAATTTTTCTGAAAACGTGATTGGCCGGATCTTGGAAGTTCAATATCACCCCAATTATGAATTTTCAATATGATGTCAGATTTCTCCAAATGCTTTTTAAACGGCGTGAAATATAGAAATAAAATCACGTTTTGTTACATTGAGATGTGGGGGACTTTTTATTTTCATTACAACCAGAGGTTAACAATTTCAGATCGGCTAAACGGGTCAAACGATTTTAAACAAGATGCAATAAAGTTGGGTTATCAAAGAAACAATCGAGTTAATATGAGATAGAAGGGTGGTACCCATAGCCACCGTTATGGAGATGATAGTTCCTTTGTGCTGGATTGGATCTCTAGTGTACACGAGTAAAAGGTCTATCACCATTGGGCTGACTAAGTCACCGAGACTTATAACATTCCAAATGTCTTATCCGATCGAGGTGTTAGGAGACCTTGGGGTTGGAATCAAACCGCCTTTTGGAACAATGAGATAAAAGGGTGGCTATTACCTAAAGATAATTATACGCGAACACTTTAATAGTGACAATGTCTCTTCGCCGTAGCATGTAAGATATACTACCTCCGTCCCATTAATATTGGTACGGAAGAAAGTGACACAATTATTAAGAAAAGTGAGTTTATGTGGTAGATATTGAATTGAAAACGTAAAAATAAAGTAAGAATGATTTAGAGCCACACAAACTTTACCAAATTTGGCATGAGACAATCTTAGTGGGACTTCCCGAAAAGGTAAAATGGGACAATCTTAGCAGGACGAGGGAGTATATATTGACGGAGTAAAGTGTGAGATTATGGAATACATGTTTCCCATCTAGGAGCCCTGGAAGATATTTATAATAAGAGAATACATTTCAATTAGACAAATATCCGTAACAGATATATTACTACACCCCTCAATTTGTGCTGGAGATACGACACGCACGCCCATTTTTTAAAAATAAAATTGTTGACTAAAGGACCCTTAGTAAATATATCAGCCAGCTGAAGATGAGTAGTAACATATTTCACCGTCAAATCACCATGTGCGACATGCTCACGAACAAAATGATAATCAATTTGTATATGTTTGCTCCTAACATTCTGAACTGGGTTGGCAGTCAATAAGATGCTGAAATATTATCACAGAAAAGTTGTAATGTTACACGAACGGGAAAACCAAGCTCGAAGAGAAGCCATCGAAGATGTAGTGTCCTGAATAGTATATGCAATAGCACGATATTCAGCCTCAGTAGAAGATTTAGACAAAGTAGGTTGCTTTTTGAACTTCTAAGAGACAATGTTGGAATTCAAAAAACAGCAAAGTTAGTGGTAGAACAAGAGTTATCCAGACAACCAGCTAAACAGCATCAGAATAGGCCAAAATGCATATAGGCCGTGTAGAGGACTGGGGGCTTGATCCATGGTCAAGAGTGCCATTTAACTATCTAAAAATGCGTTTGACAACAAGCATATGAGTGGTACGAGGAGTATGCATAAACTAAGACACTAAATCTACTGCATGAGTAATATCATGTGGTGTCAAAGTAAAATGTTGTAATGCACCTACCATGCTCCGATACTCCCAAGCATCTACTAGGAGCTCACCATCAATGAGAGAGAAAAAGATACATTTAGCAAGGAAGGTGCAAACAGATTTGAGAATGTGGAAGGGAAAATGAATAAGCGCGTCATAAACATGTTTATTTTGATAAAGAAACAAACCAGCCTAGGCCCTAGCCATCCATTTTTTATTCTTTTTTTAAAAAAATTATTAAGATTTAAAAACTTGTGTAACAAATTCTCAAAGATATTCTTTATACTCTTTGCATGCCAATATATTGCCTGCCTCGGCCACTCGTTCCATATTTAAAGGTTGGGTCATTCTTGATGTACACAAAATATGTACATTGTTTGTGTACACAGATAATTATGAGGATTTTGACATCAAGTCCTGCTCATTTTTAAAAGAAATGTTTGTGTACACAGGCAAACAAGGGGATTTGTGTACATTTTTTTTGGACGAATCGGAGCGACAAAGGGCTGAATCTCAGAGGATCGTGGTAGCAAGGTCACTCTACCGTTTACAATACCCCGTCGCGTATTTTTATGGAATTGACTAGTTGATATGGTCAGATTATACTAAGTACTTGGTATAACTTTACTAAAACCAAACATCCCCACCATCCTCTATTCCTGTCGGGTCGGGGTGGGGGCTCCTGGGTGTGGGATTCCACCTTTTTTCTTTTATAACTAAAACTAGGGCTGGGCATAAAACCCGAACCGAACCCGTACTGAACCGATCCGTAATGGTACCGAATCGAATACTGAGTATTCAAACGGTTATGTAAATTTTTATCCTGAACTGAAACCGTACCGTTTGAAACGGGTATAGGACCGGTCCTAGAATTTGAGTACCGAAAAATACCGAACCGAACCGTTCAAAAATAATGCATTGAAATTTTTTATATTTTCCCCATACCAATAAATCTATTTTATAGACCAACAATTTTATAGCTCAAGTATGTATTCATGCGTCCTTAAAATAGCTAAATGTGTTTATATATATATATATATATATATATATATATATATATATATATATATATATATATATATATATATAAAATATATGAGGAAAGTTTATGTCAGGACTTCCAAAAACGGACCTCCGTACGGACCTCGGCGTTTGGACCCCTTCCCGGTGAAATTTTTTGATGAAATTGTTTGAGCATGTTCTTCATCAAATCTAGTTTACCCATACCAAATTTCAGCTAAAAATTCCATCGGGAAGGCAGTCAATTAATTTTTGGAAGTTAACTGCATTTTATATGTATATAAAGTGCGCAGTTAACTTCAAAAAATCATTTGACTGCCTTCCCGATAGAATTTTTAGCTGAAATTTGGTATGTGTAAACTAGACTTGATCAAGAACATGCTAAAAAAAATTCATCAAAAAATTCTACCGGGAAGGGGCCCAAACGCTGAGGTCCGTACGTAGGTCCGTTTTTGGAGGTCCTGACAGGAACACTATATATATATATATATATATATATATATATATATATATATATATATATATATATATATGTATATATATATACTGATTTTTTCGTTTTAGATAATTTATATATAATATAATCAGTATATAATATAAATTATCTAAAACGAAAAAATCAGTATATATATATATATATACTGATTTTTTCGTTTTAGATAATTTATATTATATTTTGGTATGTATTAAAAGAATGTTAAAGTTTTAGAAATCATTAATAACTATTCATTTCTAGTAAAGTAGTGTATACAACTTTTGTTGTATCACGTTTGTACAATTTTACAACTTAATTAATATGTTTTAAATTTTAGCTTCCGCGGTTCAACTATTAATTTAAATAAAACTAATACTTAACCTAGAACAATGAAGAACATTGATTTTTTCTGTTATATTCATTAATTTGATGATTTTATTTTTATATTTTCACGTGAACTTTGTAAATTAAAGATGATATGTATCTCATTTATCGTCATTTTAATTTGCTATACTTTTTTTTAGTTGTGCTGCATTATTTGTATATTTGTGAATGGTAGAATTGTAGTACTAAATAAGCAATTTCTTGTAACATTTTATATGAATTGGTTGGTGTGATGATATCTACTAATTTCAAAAATGTTTCAACTTTTTTTAGCATGTGTTTGACATTGTACCGTACCATTTTATATCGTTCTGAAACAACATGGTACCGAATGGTTCCATCCTTAGAACCGGACTGCACCGTTACAAATCTCACGGATACTTTACGGGTTTTACTAATTTACGGGACCGTTTCGACCGCGCCCACCCTAACTAAAACCAAACATTGATTAAAGATGGTGAGAAAGGAGAAAGAGGCATTATTTGCTTTTATTGGCATCTATATAAACGGTACACTCCAATAGACAAAGACTTGTCCATAGATACCATTTATCTATCCTCACAAAGAACCCATAGCAATGAAATCCTTGCTGTCCCTCCTAGCAGCTGCTTTTGCACTTTTCTCGGTGGCAGCAACCAGCACCGCCCCAAATTGCGACCTGGAAGAAAAGGGTTCCACCCTCAGAGTCCTCCATGTTTCCAGCTCCTGTTCCCCCTTCCGCCCTACCCACAATAAACATCCCCTCTCTTGGGAGGACAGCGTCCTCCAGATGCAGGCCAAGGACGCCGCCAGGCTCCACTACCTCTCCAGCCTCGTCGCCGGCAAGAAGTCCTCCCTGCCCATCGCCTCCGGCCGCCAGATCATCCAGAGCCCCACCTACATTGTGAGGGCTAAGATCGGGACTCCGCCGCAGACCTTGCTTCTGGCACTGGACACCAGCAATGATGCTGCCTGGATCCCGTGTACCGGCTGCGCCGGTTGCCCTTCCTCCGCCCACTTCTCGCCGGAAACCTCCACCACTTTCAAGAACGTCTCCTGTGGGGCTCCCCTGTGCCAACTGGTATATGTACTATCCCCTGCATGCTCTAATCTTTGACGTTCTGTTTACAATGACTTGCTCTAATTAATTAAATTAATTAAGGTCATTATATTATTGAATACACCCACACTTTGATTCTTTTCCAAAACTTTCTGTCACCTCTACTTTGTTATGACAATTATTTAGTACTAAAATATTACTCCGTACTTAAATAAAAAGTGTATGTGAACTGTGAAGGCATGATTAAACTATTATAATTATGCTAGGATTGCTAGCTTAAGGGTTATTATAACATAAAATTGAACATAATTGTAATAATTAAATTTTATTAATACACAAGAAGAGTTATTAATCCCATTGTATGAGATCACTTTTTTATTTATCATTTTTTATTTAGTCATAATATACGGAGTATGTCATTAAATTTATTACAAAATAAATACGAATAAAATGTATTTTTAACAGAAACTTTTTGCACATATTCCTGAAGTAAAATTTATTTAAAGATATATTATTAATTAAGTTTTAATAGTCACTTTAAAACGTATTATTGAAATAAAGATGTCTCCTTTTAACTATCTTTATTTTAGTTTGTTTTTAAAGAGATCTTTATTTTAGTTATATGTATGTAAATATTTCTAAATAAAAGGCATCCTTCAAGAAGGAAATAAGGGTTGTCGAAATGGATTACTAGATCCTTTATTAAATAAGTGCAATATGTTAAATGTTATACTATTAACATGATAACATCTTCTACTTACATTATAAGTATACAGGGAGTATTTTATTTTATTAATGTATTGATTGATTGTTTTAGAAACTGCTACTCTTTTTCTTCATGAGATTTTATAACTCTCTTTTTCATGACTTTCAAAAAAATTGTCACTTTTGCATTAAATTACACAGTGACCCATTAGTAACTTTGGCCATTTCTCATCTCATTCGAATATGTTAATTTTTCTATGGGACGGGTAATATTAATTAAATGAACTAAACGGTCGAAATTATGGATTATAATTTGTAAAGCGCGAAAGATTATGGATTCTTAGTCCCTACGTCCTAGATGGAGTACGTAATAGGGAAGTCCGTAGCTGAAAAAGTAAGAGTGATTAACAATTAGAGCTAGACAACAGAAAGTTACCTGCTAAGCCAGCTACTCTGTCAGTTTTAAGTTTGAACGTACTATCTACATTGTTTTTTTTCATCGCGAAATTTATATAAATAATTAAATTATGCGGAGTATATTTCTGAGATCCTCTTATACGAAGTACTACCGTATTTATGATCCATAAATTTTGTACTCCGTATTCTGTTATGGTACTCCGTATGTTTTGACTTGTCTTTAACATCTCATTGGAATTTGGAAGTACATCCAAGACTATAAAAATAACAAATTTACGACAAATAATTACGAGTAAATTATATGCACAACATTTATAAAAGTAGTTGAGTTTAAAACCATGGAATATTTGATTTGCAAAGATCGAATAGCATTTGTAATTTAGTCATAATCATTATTACCTATAATGTAAGTGGTGAACGTGATCAATTATTGAGAGCACCACAAGTCCACACCATGAGGCTCTTAATACTTTTAATCAATACGGAATATATATTGTCTCCCATTTCCACTTTCTCACATCTCATTTTCTCACTGGTTTTTCTTCTTTTTCTTTTTCTCACATAATTAGTAGGAAACTTTATCATTAAATTTCTCTCCTGCTTTATATTCGCCGCATACATTCATTCTCCAATGTTTTGAATTTAGGTTAATGGATTCTTACATCGAAGTAATAAGGTGAAAATTCCTTTCAAAAAAATTACGAGTAGAAAGGTGCAAATTAATTATTATTAACAATGATATAGACCGTCACCAAAAACGATGAATTCATATAGCTTAATTAGAACAATACGATTTCACGCGTATTGAGAATTATTTTTCTCAGTTTCTCACGATATACATTCTACATTATTTGGTAACACAGGTGCGCTGAATTATTAAAATAATTAGATTAGAGTTGTTTTCTAATTGAAATGGTTGAAGATACTTAATTTAGATATTTTTCATACGATTCACTTTTCTTTTAATTAATAAATTAAATATTCTTTAAATGTTTTTTCACATTTCTAATGGTTTTCAACCGCTTTTGACAATTCAATAATTTCAGTCAGAATTTCATCAATTTCATCATATTCCAGTCATTTACAATGTTATCAAATAGGCTCTATATCATTTGCTAGTAATAAATTATATTCAGTATAATAATGATTTTAAAGAAAAAACAATGCACATAACTTTGCGTGTAATATTACTCCTTACGTTATTGTTGAACTTAATACACACAAAAACTTAATTATGCCTTCAAAGTAACACACACTTGGTATCCATAGATAAACAACAAATGAAAAAAAGTTATACTGTACTAAATTGTAAAAATTAAATCTAGAATAAATAATCATAAATCCATGCTCTAAAATAAACAACAAACAATCACAACTTACATTCCCTAGTTTTAAAAAAATTAAGATCGACTAACATGAATCTATGTAATCGGAGTGAATAAAATTTAAGGTTATTAATGAAGGCCATTAACAACATTCTCTAAACCAAACTCCTAAAAGTATTTTTGACTTTTTCAATAAATCATGTTAGTCTTTAATGGATAATATATTTGATGCTCTTTATTACAAGTATTTATTACTCTCACTTGTCCCATTTTATAAGATATCTTTACTATTCACTTGGTCAACACAAATCAATCTTAATCTCTTACTTTATAAATCGAAATTTTATGAAATTTGAATTATTTTTTGCAGGTTTTGTAGCGGTTTTAGTGTAATTTCTTAATATGTAATTTTTCTTTACTAAAAATAATTTGAGTGCAGATAGAGATCTGTTTGCTTTATCGTCGGTCAAACATCGTAAACCGAAAAATATTTTATAATTTGGGACGGAGGGAGTATATGATAGTGATATGAAAATGCTCATTATTAAAAATATTATAAAAAATCTATAAAATTATACTCAAAAAAGAAAGTTTTGAAAAACTGCATCAACTAAAATGGTTGACTTAAAGTTGAAGTTGGCTAACTAATATTCATATATTCCCACTTTCCTTTTTTAGACGTAACATTTATATTTTCCCATTTCTAAATCTTCCCATCATACCCTCAATAATTTAAAAAATAATACACTATTACACCTACTTTTTTTGGATTTATCCTTCATTCCATCACATTATTTCATTATCTTCCCATCATACCCTCAATAATTCATATCTCATTTCACTATTCTTAATCTCACCCACTTGGGAAAAGTGGGAAGATATATGTGATACAAAGGAGTAAAGGGGAGGTTCTAAAAATACTCCGAATGGCTTTAAAATAAACGAGTACGTACTAATGTACTTAAAATTCAGGCCTGGGTTCAAAGGTTGTCTCCAATTTGACCAAAAGGTATTTTCTTACCGTTTGAACTTTGAATTGCTTTACTCAAATGAATGTAATACCCGTTTTAACTCCCACCTTTATGCGATACGGAGCACGTAGTAAATGTCACGGAGTACTCTTTTACCATGAAATGGCCATCATAACCTTTTCGGTAGAAGAAACTGTTACACGGAATAATGGAGGAATAGTTTTTTTTGGCAAGATTGGAGGAATAGTTGTAATCTGTAATTGTATTGTTTTTTATATCCAACTGAATACATTATGAATATACTACCTCCGCCCCGAAAACAAGTTGTCGAGTTGACTTTCACACATTTTAAGTAAAAGTAAATAAAGTTACAGAAGGGTAAATTTACTATTTTGACATTATTTCGATACTGTTTGATATTGTTTTGTACCGTTTGACACTTTTTTGCACTTTTTTATGTAGATAGGAAAGTGGGAATTTAGGATCCAAGTAAGAAAAGTGAGAATTTATTTCCGGGATGGGAGTAAAAAAAGCAGTGCTAAAGATTACGGAGTAAAAGATAATACTTCATAGAAAATTTGATGAGGATGTGATGTTCAAATATTTCTCTTATGTTTCCTGAAAAATATTGAATAATAAGTTCAATTTAAAGTAGAAATAAGATTAGACTCAAATGTAATAGTAGTATTATTAATGTTTATATGCTTAGTATTTTTTATTTTTTTTAAAAATGTTTAAATATATTTTTTTCTTCAATATATCTGAAATTAAAAAAAAAAATGGAAAATTTAACAAAATCGGAACTCGGTTCATTTTTCTATAACAATGAACTAAATGAGATTATTGTTATGAACATTTCCAATATGAATTATTATCTTTCAAAAAAAATGAATTATTATAAAATAAAATGTGTAAAAAAAAGATTGTTAATGTCAATATGGAAACTCCTAAATTAGGCTATTAGTAGTATGAAAGGTAAAGATCCTAATTTAATTTATGTTAAAATTTCCAGATACCAAAGTCAACGTGTGAAGGTGGCGCGTGCGGTTTCAACATGAGTTACGGCGGCTCTACCATCGCAGCAAACCTCTCCCAAGACACGATGACAATGGCGACCGACGTCGTGAAAGGCTACACCTTCGGTTGCGTCCGGAGGGCCACAGGAAGCTCGATGCCACCTCAGGGCCTGCTGGGCCTGGGTCGTGGGCCGCTATCGCTGTTGTCCCAAACCCAGAACCTCTACAAATCCACCTTCTCTTATTGCTTGCCCAGCTTTAAGTCGCCGAATTTCGCCGGGTCTCTGAGGCTGGGTCCCTCAAGTCAACCCACAAAGATCATTAGCTACACGCCGTTGCTCAAAAATCCCCGGAGATCGTCACTGTACTACGTCAACCTCGTCGCGATCAGAGTAGGGCGCCGCCTCGTCGATATCCCTCCAAGTGCAATGGCTCTCAATACCGTCACAGGCGCCGGCACCATTATCGATTCTGGTAACCCATTTCAAATTCCTATTACATCTCTAACTTCACCTAAGATGTTTTTCTTGGATCCTAATTTGATGGTCTCCTTTGGTTTATTTAAGTTTAGTTTGGTTTGAGTTGGTCCGATCTGATTTGATAAATGTTTGATCTTTGTCTATTTCATAACTATAAGTTTGGTTTTTTATCTGAGTCTAAAAACAGTCCAAGAAAAATATCCTTATTTTTAAAAAGTCTCATTTTAATATTTAAAAGGGTGATACATTTAGTTCTTGTACTATCATGAAAATGTCTATTAAGTTTTTATACTATAAAAAAATCAATCAAATACTTTAAATATGACAAAACGTTCAATTGGTCAATTAGTTGGTTACCTGTCATGTCATCAGGTTACCCGCTGATGTAACGCACTCGTTGCAGTCGACATGTGTGCACCATGTCATCGTGAAATTGCTGACTAGGCTTCCATGTGTGTGTCACATCAGCTAAGTCACGGCTGACCTGACCACCACATCTGTGTGAATATCAGCAAGTGATTCGCTCACGTGCATGGTGGTTAACGTTTTCATGAGAGAATAAGAATCAAATGGATAGTTTTCCTTATCTAGAACCATGGTGATGATTATGATCATATTTGATTGTCACCAAAATAAGAAAATAAATAATCCGTATTATCTAACTTAGATTAATGCAATAAAGAAAATAATACGGATTATTATAGTTGATCTTTTTATAGGAAGCGGAATCACACAGGGAGTATTAATTACTCCGTAATTTAGAAAAGGACGACAATCTTTAGCTATTTGAAAATGAATTTTTTTTTGAATTGTGACAATGTATTTGTAAGTTATTTTAAAAACTTGAGATTGAATTTATCAAAAAAAAAAAAAACTTGAGATTGAATGATATGACGTGATGACGTGTTCAGGCACGGTGTTCACGAGGCTTGTTGAGCCAGCATATGCAGCAGTGAGGGACGAGTTCCGTCGACAGATGGGGCCCAACACGACAGTGCAAGCCCTTGGAGGCTTCGACACGTGCTACACTGTTCCGGTCACCGTCCAGACCATAAAGTTCATGTTCCAAGGGATGAACGTGACGCTGCCCCAAGACAACTTCCTCATCCACAGCACGGCAGGCAGCACCACCTGCCTGGCCATGGCCGCCGCACCGGACAACGTCAGCTCCGCCCTCAACGTCATCGCCAGCATGCAGCAGCAGAACCACCGGGTCATCTTTGACGGGCCCAATTCCCGACTAGGCATCGCCCACGAAGTTTGCAGCTGAATGATTATTAGTAATTAATTTCATTTGATAAAAAAACACGGTGTAGTAATCTTCGACAATTATTTATATTTGCAACTTAAATTAAAGCTAGCGAAAGTTTTTGTTTTAATTAAGTACCTACTACTGTTGCGTTTTGCGTGATTGTTTTTTTATTTTTTTGTGTTTGTACACCACAAAGTCACGTTTCGATAACGGATTATTACTCTGTAGTACTCCTTATTTATATTACTATTATTATTATATGGATATGGAATTATGGATATGATGAATTGATGGATTGTGATATTGGGATGCGGATTGTTTTTGTTCTGGTCACGGGTGGTTGCGTCCACAGCTGTTCAAAAAGGTCCAGTTTCGTTCACGGGTCTACTGTGTACAAAAAACAGGGTCGGTGATGAGCTTGGACAATTGAACGTAGCAGCTTTCAGGCAATCCCCTGATGTCTAAAAAAAATACTCATAATTGTTTTTGGACACATCGATCGGGTCGTTAAATGAAGAATTCTACAGTCCTTTGGTATGCGTTTGGAGTTGAGAAAATTGCTATTGCTAAAACAAAAAAGTTTCTTTCCAAAATAGGACTTAATGTTTGGCTTTCCCTAAACGGGACTAACATTACCTTTTTTACCAATAATTCTATTTAATTAATTAATTGGTCTAAATAATTACCCCCTAGTTTCCTTGCACAACCAAGGCAGTTCATCGGTGGCGGGGCAGTTCGTGGCGGCGGCAGAACTCCGGCAGCCGGTCGGCGGTGGATTCTAATAGTGTAATCATAAGGACTCTTATGTAATTAATCAAGTTTATTCCTTATTATAAATACAACACTAGGGCTACCTATTGGGTAAGCCATTCCATCATTATTATTTTCTCACATGGTATCAGCAGCCTAGGCTTTCCAACCCTAGAACAATATGTCGACTACTCCTTCTAAGGCGCACGACCCTCCCTCATCGTTGCCGCCGGTCAGCCAGCCGATTCTTCACACCTCGGCGTCGTCTTCTACCACTGCTTCTTCGTCAACAACGATTGCCGCGGTACTGGCTCCAACAGCGCCCGTCCACACGGAGCCGCTCTACTCCTCCGGTGTTTACATGTCACCACAATTATCTTCAACTAGGTTCACACTGCCGCCTCCTCCGTTGGGGTCTTTTCGCACGTTCAACATGCCGGAGCCATTCTCTTGGACTCCCACAGTGCCGACTATGCCTCCACGTGCAGTCCCTACTCGTCCGGCAGCCCCTCTTGTCTCGCCATACACCGGTCCGTCTTTCTCTGGCCAACCAGGGATCATGCCGTTTGAGGCTGGCTCCACTTCTCGACATGATACGCCTCCGGTAAACACCTCCCCTTTATCCCAATTATCATCTCAGTTAACTTTTTCAACACCTAATGTTACAAACATTGTTACTACTCGTTTGGATAAAGTGGAGGATTATCTTACTTGGCGTACACAATTTGAGGCTTTTTTAGTATCTCATGGATTATGGGGTATTATTGATGGTTCCATTCCTGCCCCCCCCCCCCCCCCCCACAAACATTTTCGGATGCCCCCAATCCTGAGTATCATTCATGGCTAAAAATTGATCAAACAGTTAGGTCATGGTTGTTTGTCACTTTGTCTCGTAATATTTTACTTGAAGTGCACAGTCTTCGTTTCTCTGCTTTAATTTGGGAAAGATTGGAGACACGTTTTATGGCGGCATGTATAGCTAGATCACTTGAGCTTAAAAGAATTTTGTCTAGCTTAAAGAAAAGAGATGACCAATCCATGGATGACTATTTGCGGGAGATTATTGTTTTGACTGATAATCTCAATTCCATTAACTCCCCGATTAGTACTCGTGAACTTCTTCAGCACACCGTCGCCAGTTTGGGACATGAATATGAATCTGTTATTACCTCTGTCACCTTGTTCCCGGATAGTTTCACGTTTGAATCCTTAATGCCCCAATTAATGGCTTTAGAACAAAGGGCTCTCCATCTTCGTTCCCTCAATACACATCCGGGTCATTAGGCCTTTGTGGCTCAGGAACAGCAGCAACCAGTCCGTCCTCCAGGCCGAGGGGGTGCAGCTCGCGGGAACGGTGGCAGGGGTGCTCGAGGCGGAGGTCGCGCGTGGGGACACCGTGGACGCGGTCGCGGTTATGCAGGGCAGTACGGTCCTGGTTATGGGGGACAGCCAGGTGGTTTCGGTCAGCAGCCAGCAGGGGGGCATCCTCCACTTGCTCCGATTCCTGCTCCTTACGGGTGGCAGCAGGGGGCTCCTTCTCGGGGTCCTCCACAAACCGGGTTTCCATGTACGGCATTAGGTAATTTTGGGTCAGTTTTATATGGTATTCATGCTTTATCTACTTGTGTTACTCACCCAACTTTTGCAGGATACCCATCTGTTGAACATAATTATCCTTCTCCTGCACCGCCTGTTGTTTGTCAACTTTGTTACTCCCCAGGTCACTCCGCTATCAATTGTCCTCGTTTCACTAACTCTACACCAGCTCTGGCGGCTATTTCTACGGGTGAAACAAATGCGTCAGTGTGGTACCCGGATTCGGGTGCTTCTGCTCACATGACTCCGAATGAAGGTATTTTAACTAATAAATCCTCTTATTCTGGTCCCTTTTCTATTCGTATTGCTAATGGTCACAATCTCCCCGTTTCTCACATTGGTAATGCTACTTTATCTACTGCTAGTCTCCCGCTTTTATTAAACTCAGTCTATCATGTTCCGCACCTTCATTATAATTTATTATCTATTCAACGTTTGTGTGCGGATAATGATTGTTCTGTTATTTTTAATAAAAATACTTTTTTTGTCAACGACAATCACATGGGAGCCATACTACTCCATGCCTCCAATAAAGACTCTGTTTATCCCTTTAGAGCAGTCCAGTTACCTACACCGTCTCTCGCTTTACAGACTCAGCTTATCTCAGGTCCAGTCTGGCACAAGCGTCTTGGTCACTGTGGGGATCGTGTTCTCTCTGTACTTAGGAAAAATAAATTTATTACTAGCACTAGTACCTTTTCTCATGATTGTGTTTCGTGTAAACTGGGGAAGTCTCACCGCCTTCCTTTTTCTGATATTACTCATACTGTTACTTCTCCATTACAAATTATACATTCAGATGTTTGGCAGTCGCCTGTGTTATCCAATTTAGGTTTTAAATATTATGTTTCGTTTATTGATGACTTTTCTAGATATACTTGGATTTATCCGATGCACAAAAAGTCTGAAGTTTTTACTCATTTTTGTAATTTTCAGAAACTAGTTGAAAATCTCTTTAACTGTAGAATTAAATGTTTTCAAAGTGATGGTGGTGGTGAATTTGTCAATTCCTTGTTTCAAAATCATTTTCTTAATTGTGGTATTTTATTTAGAAAATCTTGTCCGGATACACCTGCGCAAAATGGTGTGGCTGAGCGCAAACATCGACATCTTTTCGAATTGTCTCGTACTATGCTCATAGAGGCTGCGTTACCCTCTACTTTTTGGGTTGATGCCCTCTACACGGCTACATTTATTATAAATCGCTTACCTACACCAAATTTGCACGGTTTGTCTCCGTTTGAGATACTTTTTCAAAAACCACCTGACTATACTTTTCTTCGTGTTTTTGGGTGTGCATGTTTTCCCAATTTTATTGCATCTTCTTCCAATAAATTATCCCCACGGTCCATTATGTGTGTGTTTCTGGGATATGCTCCGGGTTATAAAGGTTATCGTTGCCTTGATCCCCGGACAGGTCGTGTCTATGTCAGCAGAGACGTTGTTTTTCATGAAACCTCTTTTCCCGATACTAGCCTTCGTGAAACACCTGCTTCACCTTCTGCTTCGTCCCCAACCGACATTCTTCCTCCTTAGACTGTTTCTTCTCACCCCACCGACCCTACCGACCTCCCTAGGCTCATCTCTGCTTTGCCCATCTCCTCTCCGACCACCTCCACTCCTTCGGCCAGCAGCAGCAGCCCACCATCCCCACTCACGGCCCCTGCCAGTCCCTCCTCGGCCAGCCTAGATACACCACCGCACACACCTCCTTTTATTTTGCCTTCAGCCCCCTCCCATAGCTCCCCAACCAGTAGCTCGAGCCCTCCCACCCCGCCTCCACCTACACCCACCAGCTCCACGTCCATATCTTCCCCTCCCCGTATGGCTCCTAACGTCCATCCCATGCGCACGAGAGCTAAAGATGGTATTTTAAAACCCAAAACAATTTTTAATTTAAACACTTTAGCTCTCCCTAATGATCCCACATGTTTTTCACAAGCGAATAAAAGTTTAATTTGGCGGGCAGCCATGGCAGAAGAATTTAATGCTCTCATTGCTAATGATACGTGGGATTTAGTATCGAGTGATACTAGGAAAAATGTGGTTGGATGTAAGTGGATTTATAAAACAAAATACCGCTCTGATGGATCCATTGAGCGCCACAAGGCACGTTTGGTAGCTCAAGGATTTAACCAACAGGCTGGGATAGATTTTTCTGAGACATTTAGTCCGGTGGTTAAACCAACCACGGTTCGTCTTGTTCTTTCTGTTGCTGTTTCCTCAGGCTGGGCGGTGCGTCAGTTAGACGTCAAAAATGCCTTTCTCCATGGTCATCTTACCGAAGAAGTTTACATGCGTCAACCCCCAGGTTTCATTCACCCATCCTACCCTACTCATATCTGTAAACTGAAGAAAGCCCTTTATGGTTTAAAACAAGCTCCACGTGCGTGGTTTCATCGGTTTAGTGGTTTTTTATTATCCCATGGTTTTTCACAAAGTCAGTCTGATTCATCCATGTTTACTTACCACTCTCAGTCACGCGTCATTTACATATTGCTCTATGTCGATGACATTCTTATTACCGGTAGTTCTGAGTCTCTAGTTCGTCACTTTATTCATTTATTATCCAATCAATTTGCAATGAAAGACTTGGGTGATATTCATTTTTTTCTTGGTATTCATGCTACGCGCACATCCAAGGGCATGTTTCTCTCTCAACATAAATATGTCACTGATCTGCTTCACCGTTTTCATCTTCACACTGTAAAACCGGTACAGACTCCTCTCTTGTCTCGCACTACCTTGTCTCTCACAGATGGGGATCTTCTTAGCGATGGTACTGAGTATCGCAGTATGGTAGGTGCATTGCAATACTTGACTATTACTAGACCTGACATTACTTATGCCGTACATTTGGTTTCTCAGTTTATGCATGCTCCCCGTACTACTCACCTTGCTGCTGTGAAAAGAATTTATAGGTACTTACAGGGCACTTCTTCTCACGACCTATGGCTTCGGGGTGG